AAATTACCAGCAGTCACCCTAAGGACTAAACTTTAATGCCATTACGAAACTGTTGGTCAATCTTACAGAAATACTTTCCTCGAGATTCAAAAGGCAAAGAGACAGAAGATAGAATTTTTATTTCATTTCCATGTTGGTCCAAGGCTGGGGAGTGAAGCAGGATGGTCTCCTCTTGGCAGCCGCCTCCTGGCCACCTCGGTGTGATCACCAGGCTCCTGGGCTCCCCATCTTCTCTGCAGGGAAACAGCCCCCAAGAAAGGGGTACCTCCATCATTCCCACTGCCCAACCTAATTCTTGGTTTTGTGGTATCTCGCATGCATTGTGGGACCACACATAGTTTAAATGATGGAGGGAAACACGTGATCCCCACACTGTCCCTGTCTGTTGGTGGCTGGGCTCCACGTTCTACCCACCTCCTGGGGTGGTGCTCCTGGGCTCCTCCCAGTCCACCCAATACCATGGACCAACACACACATGCTGCTCTGAATGCCTCAATGTTACCAGTTTTAATGATGCTTTTCTTCCTCTAAAAGTGGCTAACAGTTTAACATTGAGAAGTCAGATCAGAGCTATTGCAGGCAGATTTCTCTAGTGCCAAGGTGGAATCTTTACCTACTACAGCATCATTTTCAAACAACCATTTTCAATGATCTTCTTTATACTCTTTTAGGAATTTTCTAATTATTTTACCAGTCTCCTGACCATGGGATTTAGCTCAGTGACTTAAGCACTTGCCTGGTAAGCACAAGGTCATGAGTTTGATCCCTGGACCAAAAAAACAAATTAGATGCTCCCTGAAAGGTACTGTTTACCCATCATTTGATAGGCTGTGTGAGGCCCCAGGAAACAACAATAATGCCTAACTCATTGTCCTTGACATATACAGTTTTTCACAATTGAATGAGGAAGAAAACAATGTTCAATTAAAAAGTATGCAAATAAAACATAAAGTAGAATATGGCCCTCCTGACAAACACAGCACCAAGCACACCAGCATGCCATGAAGGAGGCCACATCGAGGGGACAGTTTACCCTGCCGATTGGTGAAGTGTTAGTCAGCTGTTCATAACAGCTTCTTAAAGCCTTCTGGAAAAAATACCTTTTCTTTTCTTTTCTTTCTTTCTTTCTTTTTTTTTTTTTTTTTTGTTTTTTGTTTGTTTGTTTGTTTTTTGCTGGTAAATGGATTGCAGCCATGTGCTAATATAGTCTGCTATTTAAAATACCAGTATAGCCACCGCTCGTTTACAAAATTAAAAATGACAGTTGATCACACACCACACACACACACACACACACAGCAGTGGAAGCACTGGGGCCCTGCTGCTTGCTGCCTATAATTCTGGCAGCTGAGGAATCATAAAGCCCAGCGGCATCAGTGGCGGCTACCGGGGTACTGCGCGCCCTCAGAAGCCCATCCGCAACTGAAGGGCTTGCTTCTGGCACAGGTGCTTCCCTTCCCCTGCAGAGCCTCCTTACGCATCAGAGTGGACTGTGCTTCCAACATGAAGCTTGTAAGCAAAGTCTAGACCGGAAGGGAAGCACACACCAGCATCTTCAGTGGGGGAGTGGGCAGGTTCTGGCCTGCACAGTCCAAGGACTGCGTTAGCCACCAGCTCTGAGGGCTCGTGAACGCACTGATGAGTGAAACACGGGTGAGCAGGCTGCCTGTCCAGTGGCCCTGCCCCTCAGTCTCCTGCAAGGAGACCCAGGGCCAGGCTCACATCTGAGGAGCTCCGCACCCTCTGCGCCTGCTTATCCGGCCATGCGCAGCTGGCTGCTTTCTCCCAAAGGCACCTTGGGGAAAGAGATCTGTGCCTCCTGCAGTGCCACGAGCTGTGACAGAGATAAACAGCTGCACTGAATTAAGCATGTGTGTTTATTTTTTAATATTAAATTTTCATTTCTTCTTTTACTTTCTTAGGACTTCATTTTAAATAATGCTAATGTTCCAAAATTATGCATGGCCCTAGAGTCTTAATCATTATAAATTCTGCCCTAAGGAAGAAGTAAATCAGAAAATACTAAATGTCTTTAAACATGAATCAATTGATTTCTGATTTGTTATTCTGTGAGAGTATTTAACTATGACTTAATGATGTCCCGTCAGAGAATTTAAAAAAACGCTTTAGATGGCAGTGTGAGAAGTCAACTGGGTTAATAGTCTGCTAACTTTTAAATTCGCATAATAAATGCAGTGTGAATGGATTCCTTTTTGAGTCACGTACTTAATAGCAATTGTCACATTAAGGCAGTATCTTCTGGGTTTTAAAGGAAAATCTTCCGGGTCACAGATTCTGGGCTAGGTCCCTGAGCACAGAGGCATCACCTCATGGGGCCACCACAGGCTCCAGAGGCTTCTTCAAAGCACACACTTTGCCGGCAGAGAAGCGTCCCCGTGAGTTCAAGAGTCCTCTTCTCTCTCTATAGTTGCAGTAGTCTCCTCAGTCACACTATACTCACACCCGAGAGCCGCCCAGCCTCGGAATCAGCTCTTCTCTCTCATTAGTCAAATGAAACAATGATGTTATAGAGCCTCTCCCCGTCTTCATTAGTGATAATGATCGAGGCAGCTTCACTTCAAAGGGAACTGCAGGTAAAGATCAAAGAGAGACCAGAAATTGACACAATATTTGAAAAGTGGTACTACAGTATCAACTTAAAAAAATATTATTCTCAGACTTTCTGTTGCACAGTGGCAGGTCTCCCAGAAGCTGAGGTTCTCACCTAAATAAACAAAGGCAGACCCAACTGACCAGGCTCAGGAAAACAACTCATCTCTTGCTTCAGGTGAAGGAACAGACAGCAAGCAGGAAGCTGGGTTTCAAAGGGCATGCTAACAGGAGAAGGGGAAATGTCAAACATTGGCATAAACGCTGGACTCCTATCTTTATATGTTCATTGAGGGTTTTTTCTTGGTGCCTTAAAAGTCCTGATGCTGCATCATCTCACTACTTCCAAGAAGCACATGGGGAGACACGTGTGCATCGCAGGAGCAGTAGCAGGTATGTCTTGGACAAGCTGCAGCATAATGTTCCAAATGTTCCATAATGCAAGCGTAGGCAGTGCATACCTCCATGCTGCACCAATGTAGAGGGCTTGCCCAGAAAGGAGGAAAGGACAGAATGCTCAGACTCCGCTGCCCACAACCTCGGAGTCTTGCATGATGATCACGTGTTTGTCAGAATGAGTCAAAAGGCATTCCCAGCACAGGGTACAGTACCAAACATGAAGGCACCAGGGGCTGGCACCACAGAAATGCATGTGAGGGTCTGGAAACAAGTGGGGCCCAACTAATGGTTGTAGTGGACTTTGAGGCTCACGGCTGGGCAGGACCCTAACACAGTAATGGACCAGGTGCCAGGGTCATGCTCAGGGGAGCACAGACTGTTCAGGTTTGCTGATCGCTCTGAGAGTACACAGGGCATGGCTTTCGGGCATCCTGATCCAGTCTGGCAGCAGCTCGGGCCCCTTATTTATCTCTTCCTTGCCAACATAATCACCCACAAAACTTGGGCAGCTGCAGGAACATGCCAGCGACTTGGCCATGCAGCTGCACCTGCAGGAGGAAAGGAGGTGGGTGAGCAGAGCACACAGTACCAAGGACACTGTGCTTGGAGTGCTAGATGGTACATATCGGGGTCTGTGCACAGGCTCCTGGGCTGTGGCACATCAGGGTTTTGGAAAGCACCCCAACAAGACCCTGGCCTGTTGTCCAAATGTGATCCTCACCACAGGGCTTTGCCTGATTCCCAGTGGATGTGATGCTGTCACCTGCAGAGCAGTCCCAGGCTGCACCGCACCATGCACACCTGAGTACAAGCACTCACACACTCCTGAAAGGTGAGGGCCACTTGAGGAATGGCACCCACTTCCTGAAGAAAGTAGCCAGCAGCTACCTTCCACCCTTCCACATTCTTCAGCAGCCCAGGGCAGAGAGCGCACTGAAATGTGGCTACTCAAGAAAGGGGTACCTGAGCCTGTTCCAGAGCAAGGTGGCTCCACGGCTGCTCTCCCTGCAGGTCCCGGGGTCAGAGAAGAGGGTGAGCAGGTAGCCCCTTTGGCTTAGAGTTAACTGGGAGAGGAAAACGAAGTGGAGCAGTGAGGACCTACAAAAGCAGAAGGCCAGCGAGGGCCGCGGATGGTGGACCAGGCATCTGAGGGCTGCTGGGGCAAAGCTGTCCTGTAAGTGGACAACTAGGAGTTTGGAGTGCTTGCCATGATGGTCAAGACTCTGAAAACAGAAGGGTGATTAGAGGCATCAGGGATGGGGGAAAGAGGTGCAGCTGCTGCCCAGCAGGGCAACTTGAGACATAGCTGGCACTGAGGGCTGAGAGAGAATCCCCATGGGAGGCTGGGTCACACAGGCAGCAGTCAAGGTCTCAGTGAAGGCCAAGTGATGGGGACCACAGTGTGCTTATTTGATGTAGAATCCACTAAATCAGGAGTCGATTTTCAAAAGCCATTCCCAAAGCAGCCCAGAGCCCCTGCACTGGGCGGAAGTAGTACAAGGTTATGAGACTGTCATGGAGAACTCACCTCTGAGGGGAAAGACAGGTGGGTGGCAGGAAATGCTGAGCAATGGCAGAGTCGGCTGTGTTTGATTTTGCTCCCAAGTGGGAAGGTGGAGAGTCCTGAAAAAGGGTGAATTTACCAACACAGCCGGATGAGAGGCAGGTTCCCATCCATACTGCTGCACCATCGAGTTCCATGCAGATGGCTCAGGTGCTGATCAAGAGAGTCCACACCCTGCATCCCCCTTGTCACTCCACCTCTTATGCTACGGTCCCTGTGTGCTGCTGTGAGGCGGGACACTGAAGTCCACATTACAGCGTGTTGTGAGGTGGGGAGGGGTGCCTGCGGGTGCGCCTGTGCAGCTGGGTGCTGGTGCTTGGTAAATGTGAGCTGAGTGGTTATCCCATCACCATCGATGTGGGGACCACCAAGGTGATCACTGCTGCTTTCTCAACCATTTTTGCTCATGTAACCTTTATCTCTTTAGGAATCTGCTGGCAGGCCTTGTTAGTCGGCTGCTCCCTTGCTTGAAGGAGAGGCTGAGACCTCGGCTGGAATGAGAGTGGAGGGCTAGCAGGCACCATGGGCTCCTCCTGTGTCACCTCCCAGAGGCACAGAGACAGATTCCTGAAGATGCTGACAAGACTGCAAGTTCTTACCCTGGCTTTGTTTTCAAAGGGATTTTTACTTTGTTTAGGGGACCATAACTTTCAGAGGAAGGAGATTAAAATAGAAGGTGACCTTGTTTTGGGGGGCCTGTTTCCTATTAATGAGAAAGGCACTGGGACCGAGGACTGCGGGCGAATCAATGAAGACCGGGGGATCCAGCGCTTGGAGGCCATGCTGTTTGCGATCGATGAGATCAACAAGGACAGTTACTTGCTGCCTGGAGTGAAGCTGGGTGTCCACATTTTGGATACGTGCTCCAGGGACACCTATGCCTTGGAGCAGTCCCTGGAGTTTGTCAGGGCATCTCTGACCAAAGTGGACGAAGCCGAGTACATGTGTCCCGACGGCTCCTATGCCATCCAGGAGAACCTCCCTCTGCTCATCGCGGGCGTTATTGGTGGCTCTTACAGCAGTGTCTCCATACAGGTAAGTGGTACATCTGCCCAGGGGCATGTGTTCTGGTTTCTGTAACCTAAGAGATGAGGGCAGAGACAGTGGGTGGTATTAACAAGTATCAGTCCTTCTGGGCATCTGAGAAGACAGATCTTTAGACAGAACCTTCCCCTATCAGAAAATGTTCAGAAGTGTGTCAGACAGCTACTACAGCAACACAAACTGCCCCCAAGTTCATACACAAGTATGTAGGAGTTTGTGAGTCTGCAGAGGCAGCAATGTGAGCTGGTAGAGGCTGGGCTTGGCTGAGTGCCTCCACCTGGGTTGCATCTTCTCTTCCCTCTGCAGCATAGGCCCGGACATCCCAGGCTCCTCCTTCCTGGAGCATGGCAGAAAGGTTGGCAAATGCAAACTCACCCTGCAGGCCCCTCTCAAGCTCTGCCTGCATTGTGCCTGCCAGCATCCAGTTAGCAGAAGCAGCTCACAGGACCGAGGAGTGGAGAGAATGCCTGCCAGAGAGTTGTGCTAAGGTCCCAAAGCCACATGTCCTGAAATGAGGTGGTGACATGAGGCCACCCACACGTGAACCCCAAGAAGGATCAGTGCCCCTGAACATACACTGATTCCTACTGAAGCATCATTTTGTTCTGAGACTATCTCAGGATACAAACCTCAACATGTACACGGAGAAGCCAGAGTTACTACTTTAATAAGAAAGGAAACCCTTGACACACCAGTTAGACCAACTGAAAAGCTGATAATTGGTGCATAATTTTGGTAGGGAGAGAAGAAACACATCCTTTAAATCCCTACAATTCTCACTTACAGGTCAGCCAAGGGTAGAGCTAGAAAAGAGCCATGAGGTCCTCAGCTTGACCTGTTTCCCAGTTGCCAGAAAGACTGGATGGCAGCACAGGAACTGGAGCTCAAAAGGGTCTTTGTGCTTTTGTGCTCCTTCAACCCCCATGTGACTTCTGGATGTTCCTTGAGGCTCAGTGTTTCTTTCCACTGAGGTGCTAATATTCATGACTGCAGGAGTCAAGCACTTTGGCCCCATCCAGATTCTTGTCATCAGAGCCCCAAGCACTAAAGGAAGCATGATACCCATGTTGTCTTTGTAAGTCACAGAGCCATTGGACTGGCTCTGTCTGCATTGGAATTACCTCATTTCTCTATCCCAGGTTTGTGGCATTTCAAATTCATCTATAATTCTGCACTGTTCTGAATGAGCACTTTCTAATTTCCTTCCTTCTTCAGAGCACAGTCATATTATGAGTAATTAGGATAATTGCTTTTTCATAAACACCCTTTGACTTCATTAGGCAGATAGAAAATATTGCACACTCAAAGCACATCATGTTCATTTTGTCACTAATTCTATACTCAGATCAGGAGAGATAGAATTTGCTGTTTGAGAAGGCAGAATTGAAGATATTATCGGCCATAGCTCTGTAATAATTTCACCAGTTGAGTGTCAGTCATTGTATAATTACATGCACTGCACCAACTTTGACCACTCATGGGAGGCTGCACATAGACCTTCTCTGATTCCCATCTCTCCCAGGGCAGTAAACGGTCCTGCGGAGTCAGTGTGTCCACAGTGCTTTACCCAAAGTGGTCCACGAGATGGTCCTGCCAATAGATTTTTTCATCTAATTTTACTCCTCTGATACTATCCTCCCCTCAGAAGAGATCAGATTGGCCCAGGGGGAAACTGTGGGCTTCTAAAACCCAGTTCTTGTTCAGGGAAAGAAGCTTCCTGTCACCCAGGGGTCTGGTGCATCGTTTCATTCATCCCATCAACATGACCATACACTTACGAAGGCTGACATGGCTTTTGCTTCCTGGTGTAAAACAGAAACTACAGTGCCACGTCATATTTGAGGGCACAGGTTTTGGTATCAGAAAGACCAGGGAATGAATTAAAAGTCCACCATTTGCTGGTCAGTTACAAAATGAGAAAAACCTCAGGTTTACCTCAAAATGGTTGTGCAGAAGATAATTTGAGAAAATCTGTCCTCACTGAAAAATTAGCAGATGCAATAAATGGTTCCCACAGAAAAACTACAGGAGAAATCATCAGAAGAGCTCCATGCAGAGCCCACATGATGGCCTCCAGTGGCCCACAGTCTGGTGGAACCATCATGTGCCCATGGGTGACCAGCGGGCCCATCGTGTAAAGCTCACTGTGTACCCTGTGCTCTCCATGGACTTGGGCACACTACAGTCCTACAGGAAATGGCCCTGAGGTCTGGTGCAGGTGCAGCCCTGCAGGAGACAGCACCCACATGTATGTGGCTGTGGGCTCCAAGAAGGACAGAAGGACACAGGGAGAGGGGCTTGGGGTTCATGTGCTGATGGGACACTGTATGTGGGGAGGCTGGCAGACTCACAGCAAGAGTGAGAGGCAGCAAGGGAAGAGGCCAAGTCGGGTCCCCTCTCCACAGTCCCCAGGTTTTCTGACTCCTCCACCTTCGCTTAGGCCACACACCAAAGGGAGCTGGGAGCTGGAGCGGGGTCCACACACACCCTCCAGGTGCTTTCCATGCACCTAAAGCACTGTAGCTGCAAAGAGGTCACCAGAGGCATGGACAGAGCTAGGAGTTAGTCTGTTTTCCTTTCAAAGAATGTCTGTCCTTTAATAAAATGCAGCCATGCAATGCACAGCAAGTTCTTCATGTGAATTTAAAACACTTTTTCAGCTTCTCTCCTGTACATCCACTAGGGAAACACAGGGGTAAAGAAGTTGTGGGGGGCTCTCATACCCACTAGTGCCCCTCCATGAGTGTCCTGGCCGCGCACCCTGGTGTAGCTGATGGTGCCGCCATCGCCTTACCTACTCATGGCTGCTGAATGTGTACTAGGAAGTCACCCTGCATGAACTTCACAGGGGAAGAGAGTGAAGTTGCAGAAGAAGTAAACCAGTACAAACCTGTCACATACTCTCTGGACTCCCTGCCAGTCTCCTGTCGCATCTCTTCACAAGCCAGGGCACGGAGCTCTCAGTGACATCAGACTTAGAGAGTGACAGTGCATGTGCCTCCTGCTGTGGCCAAGTCTGTGGCTTGGACACTGATAATCTCCCCAGCTGGGCCTGGGGTGGCTTCCTGGCCAGTGCTCCCAGGGCTGCGCTCTGTCCTTCTTCCGGCTCCTTCCATGACAGACTCTACTCCCCACCACACCAGTTCCTATGCAGGCAGCCTTTGAGAGGAGGGGTGAGTTCTGAGTGCAGAGCAAATTCTCACCAATTGCTGGTTGAGCTGAGTTACCTGCCTGAATACCTGGGTCATCGTTACCTGTAGCTCTAGTCAAGGACAGCAAGTCAAGATCTGCAGAGCCCTTTATGAAGCAGCAATCCTGATTTTTTAATTCAGAATCAATGAGTGTGAGCATGAGAGACCCTCTGCATTAGCACATAGGCTTGGTGGTCTCTTCATCATCTAACAAATGCATCTTTTCAAAACATTTGTAAGATGCTGTCCAGACCTGCTCTATGTAAAGCACTCAGCTCAGGGAAAGCTGCGTGTCTTCAGGAAGAGGCTCAGGTCCATTGCCTTCAGCTGGGTGAATGTCTTCACAGGACTCGGTTAACAGCATTGTACAAGCCTGTGCTTTTCAAACGTGTGGTCACCACCCCCTAACTCATTCAGTTAAAATGTTCCCAACTCTTTTCAGGGGAGTTTTCAAACCATCTCTTTCCTAAATGAAGCAAATTTTAGCTGAGACATGGGCAGGTAGAAGTTCACACCATGATTGCTTTGTCTCAGCATTAAAGTAGCCTCAGCACAAATGGGGACATGGGTGAGAGGGCATTGAAAGGTCCAGCTCATGCAGTGCAGAAGTTTGCCTTGGGGGATCTCCCCCTTGCTCTCCTTCCTGGTATGGTGAGACAGACCCTTCCTCAGAATTTCTAGTGCCTTCCACACCCTAGGAACTCCCCAGATCTGAGAAGTGGTCACTGACTCAGATTCACTCCCCAGCTCTGAGAGGTGTCACTGACTCAGCTTCCCATGGCATGGATTTGGTGATGCCACAAACTGGTTATCACAGCACACTGGGAGGTTGAGGCAGGTGGATTGCAATTTCAGGCCTAACTGGAGCAACTTAGTGACTTAGTGAGACCCTATCTCAAAATGAAAAATAGAAACATGCAGAGGAGGTAGGTCAGGGTGAAAGCCCTGGGTTCTATGCCCAGTATCAAAAAATAAAATAAAGCCCACAAAACAAACACCACTAAGTCCTTGGCAGTTAACTCAGACATTTTAGCTCTATGGAAAAAAGGGAACAAGACACCCATAAAGACACTACTGCATCATACACCTCCTGCCCACCTCCACAGTGCTAAGCAGACCTCCGCCAGTCGACCTGCATTGAGCACTGCCTTCCTACTTAAGCTGATCCCTTCCTCACTTAAGCCCTCGTGCTCCTCCTGCACAGGGCCACACATGAATTTCTAGCCTTAAGCAGAATTAAGAAATAATCCAAGGCCTCGGGGTACAATAACCTTCAACAGCAAGCCATCTGCTGGCACCTGTTAGATGGCTGTCAGTCCTTGCACTCACTCTGGATATAAACCACCCAAATCTGGATGCAGGTTCTCCACCCTGGCAGCCTAGACAGAGAGGCTGGGATGCTTTGTTACGTAGGACCGTCCTGGGTATCCAAATGGGTGGCAGCAGCCCTGGCCTCTACCCATAAGCCAGCAGCAGCCCACGCTGAGACCCCTAAAAGTGTTTCTATACACTGCCCAGCTACAGAACAATCCTCTCCCCTCACTGAGAGTCTCTGACCTAAAAGGTGAATTCACAGCCATCACAAGGAACAGTCCTGAGGAATAAAATTGCCTGGAAGGGAGGCATAGAAGGAGGTATGTCCTCTGTCCCCAGAGTTATCCAAGCAAAAGCTGGCCTTTTATTGAGGATATCCAAGTTAGTATTTGAACCACATGGTCTTAAGGATGTTGCACAATTTTGTTTACATGCTGTTCAATCAGAATATCTTATCAGGGGCCAAGTAATCAGAAGGGAAAAATC